GCAGATATGTCTATGTCTCTCTGAGGGTCCTCTGTGTTGCCTAGGCTCTCTGGGGTTATGGACTGTATCCTGGGTTATCCTTTGCTTTATGTCTAATGAGTCAATACATATTATATTTGTCTTTTTGGGTCTGAGTTACCTCACTCAGGATTTTTTTTTTCCCTAGTTCTGTCCATTTGAGGACATGAATCTTTTTCTTTTTCTTTTTCCGAGACAGGGTTTCTCTGTGCAGCTTTGGAGCATACATATCCTGGCACTCACTCTATAGATCAGGCTGGCCTCGAACTCAGGGATCTTGCCTGCCTTTGTTTCTCAAGTGCTGGGATTAAAGGTGAGCACCTCAGCTGTGCTTTAACGGAGGCAAAGCTGGGAGGGTAGCCTGCCTCTTTTGTGCTGGGCTCCCATGACCACACAGCCCTCTCGGGTACTAGCTGTGAAACCCTCTGTTTCTAGCTTGCTCAAAGTCACTCACAATTTTGAAGTCCTCTTTTCTACTCAGTATTTGTTACTTGAGAAGCAAACAGAGTTAAGTCGTATAAAGTACCACAGGTCCCTTTGGACGGAAGCAGGGAACTGGGGCCTGAAGTAAAGAACAGACTGAGAGAGAGGCATGCATAGGAGTGATGTTGTCTCCACCTGCAGTTTTATCTTTTCCTTTGTATGTACTTAAGTGTGTCTGTGTAGGAGTGTGCGTGTGTGGTCATTAGGCTTGTTGACAAGCACTGGTACCTACTGAGCTTTTTCACAGGCCCTCCACCTATGATTTTTAAACATAGGGGATATGGCTTGCCTTCGTTCAATAGAAACAACCTAGTTTATTGCACTTACATGGGACATTTCTTGGAAAAAAGGGAAACCTAGTGGCCTGAGTTGAGTCTGCATGACCCTCCTCATGGAGTTAGAGCACTGACCTGTATGCTCCCTATGGCACCTCTGTGTGCACACGCACAATAAATGTTAAAAAAGATTTAAGGGTATGGCGTGCAGACACATTGACCTTACAGTGCTTCCAATCTGTTTTCTCCCCATCTGCTTATGATCAGCACTAGCCAGGCAGGACAGTGACTGCTCTCGATGTAGGATGTTACAGGGTTGCTGTAAGCAGTGAGGTGACGGCAGCAGAGAGAGAAGCCCCCGGCAGAGCTTCTCAGATCTTGATGCATCCGGGGGCACCCCATCACCTGGGAGCCTTATAAAACTGCGATTGTGGGTTACTCCCGTTATTTCTAATGCACAGGGTCTGGGAAGGGGTTTGAGAATTTGTATTTTGAGTTTCCAGTTGATGCTGCTGCCTGCCAGTCTGTACACATTTTGAGCACCATTAGCTCTAGGTAGCTGAGCAGTGGGCACTCGGGTACTGTAGACATACCTGAGTTGTGTTGTGTATGCACTGACTTACTCTATTAGAATTCTTGGAAGACATTTGGAAAAATGGAATTTAGGATCAGAGACGTTTTCTTTCTGAAACTGGGGAGTCCTTGTTACACATATTTGAAAGACGAAAAATTGTGGAAACAACAGTCACAAATGAATATTTTATAGATAGACTATCTAGTTGGCTACATATGTGAAATTGCTTTTATAAAATATGAAGTGAGTTATTTTAAGTCACAGTTGAAGCAATATTTTAAATAACTTTGTTTTTAAAATTGAAGTTCATAATGGAGTATAAAATAGTTGAACTTAGCTTGCTCATCTCAATGTGCTGTTTACTGTATTTATTTTTCTTTCTCCTCCAGGCTGCTGACTTGAGTAAACCAATAGATAAAAGGATATACAAAGGAACACAGCCTACCTGTCATGACTTCAACCACCTAACAGCCACAGCAGAAAGTGTCTCTCTCCTAGTGGGCTTTTCCGCAGGCCAAGTCCAGCTCATAGACCCCATCAAAAAAGAAACTAGCAAGCTGTTTAATGAGGAAGTAAGTAGCACCCCACCTGAGCTGTTGACCCCTGTAAGAGTTGCTCTGTTCTTACTCAAGGGTAGCGGGCCTTAGTTTACATGTTGAGCTGATCGGTTTTCATCTGCTCTGCAGTCCTTACCTCATATCATGCAAGTTTAAATGTTGTAGGTTAGTATTTGAGCTTGTTTTTCCTTAAGGTCATAGTTGTGAACTTGTGCAGAGAATGACCAGCCATCTACACAGATACCTTAATCCCTCTGCATGGTGACTGGGGAGATGGCTCAGTGGGTACAGTGTCACTTGGGATTTCCAGCACCCACATAAAGCCAGGCATGGCCAGTTGTCTTGAATCCCAGCCCACAGAAGTGGAGACAGAAGGATGCCAGGGACTCACCACTCAGCTAGTCTAGATGACAGTCAGTGAGCTCCAAGAGAACCTGTTTCAAGAAATAAAGACACAAAACAGTGTCTCCTCAGGTGTGTGCCTCCTGTGCACATGTGTGTATGTGCACACACGTCATTTCTGTGATGGAGACAAGCATATTGGTAACTTGAGATGTGATTTCTGTTTTGTTTTGAGGCGGGGTCTTACTGTGTAGCCCTGACTGACCTGGAACTCACAGAGATCTGTCTGCCTTCGCCTCCCAAGTGCTGAGATTAAAGGTGTGCGCCACCATACCCAGCTGTTGATATGCTTTTTTTTGGTTTGTTTGGTTTTTTTGGTTTTTTGAGACAGGGTTTCTCTGTGTAGCTCTGGAGCCTGTCCTGGAACTCGCTCTGGAGACTGGGCTGGCCTCAAACTCACAGAGATCCGCCTGCCTCTGCCTCACGAGTGCTGGGATTAAAGGCGTGTGCCACCAACGCCCGCTATATGCATATTTCAAATAAAATACAGAATTTCAGTCATTCTCCAGGTCACTAAAGAATTACACATAGATGGAATGACTTGGTGACATGCCTTAACACTACTTACATTATACCTTAAACTTCTGTGTGCATTTGACAAACGTTTGGAATGCTAAGGGTTAAGCTCATGCTCTTGAAATTTCTTCTACAATTACCTTTGGCATGGTTAGGATTCCTGGAACCTAAAACTGAATCACAAGCCACAAGGTTTGCCAGTGTTGTGTATACTGGGGTTTCTGATGTGTCTTCAGTTCCATTCAGGCAGGAGCTTGAACTGTCTGACGTACCTATTCAGAAATATATTGGGATTTTTACGTAGCAGACAGAAGTTGCCAAATAGATTGTATTTATTTAAGCCATTACAGTGGCTTTTCAGTTCCAAGTATTACCACATATTTGATGCTCTTTCTCTCCTGTTTCAGTGTGACTTAACTAGAAAATGGCAGAGGTGAAGTAGACTTGATGAGGTGGACCTTTGGGTTCCAGTCTCCACCTTGTTGCTCAGCCTTTTATGAAGGGTTGTACTACATGGGCTTCACCATGTGCACAGAGTAGGAGTGTGCTCTCGGGTGTAATGTGAGAAGTAATTTGGGCAAGGGGAAGAATAGCCCCAAACTTGACACACAGCAGCCTCGGTTCTGATTCTTTGTCGTTCCTATGGCACAGGCTGTCTGCATATCCAGTACCGTCCTGGGTCCTTTTGTGTCCACTAGGAATAAATTTGCCCTCTGAACTGACAGCTGAAGAGAAAAACTATCTGACCCCATTTTCCTTTAAAAATCTTAATCAGAAGAAAATCCTTTTGCCCAGATACAATAATTCCATCAGAGGAAGTGATTTGTATGTAGCTGTGTGATTTTATATATTCATTCATTCATTCATTCATTCATTCATTCATTCAGGTGGGGGCTGGGAAAGACAGCATGGTAGTGACTCTTCTCTGCACTGTTAACAGAAACTGGAGTTGGAGTCATTTATGGGGCTTTGCTTGTGTTTGGGTAGAAGAGCTGTGATGGCCTGGGAATGGATTGAACCACGTGCCACGCTGTTGGTAAACAAGACCCAGAGGCAGTTCTGACTGAGGATGGCACAGAATGCCACTTAGAGAACAAGAAAGGTTTGTGTGTTGTGCTGGGGGAGGGTGGGAGAGTGAGTGCCCACATGGTTCTGACAGCCAGGCCCTTCTGCCCTGGTGATGGAGCTGCAGGGTAGAAAGCTGATGCTCCCTCTTCATGATGTAAGCACAAGTCCTTGCATCCTCTTCGATTGCAGTTGGAAGTGACTGTTCTGAGGGCTAGGACTGTGCATGCTTTAATGCCAGGCTGGCATTTGGAGCTCGAGATTGAAACCGAGTGCCCTTCACAAGTCTTTGGTGGTGTGAATTCATTTCTCCCAGGCACAAAGGCTGTACTTCTCAGAGTGCCAGAAATGATGTAGAAAGATGTCCTTGTGTTATGCTCAGCACTGGTATGAGATTTAGAGGATTCTAGTACTTGTACATAGGAGGGTGGAAGGTTGCTTTTCACTTTATGGATGAAGAAATCTGCAAACAAATGTAACGTGCCTTGTCCACATCAGGTAGCGAGCTCAGAGAGTTATCATGATAGAGCTGGAACCAGAAATTAATTTCAGAAACTCTGTGAGCCCCACTAGGTGTAGTTGCCAGTCTGACCTTGCCTTCTCAGCGGCTCGTAAGGTCAGTAAGGATGGACAGGTAGAGACCAGGCGTGTGTTTTCACGGTCATACCCGTGATAGGGTGCGTATAACTTGTGTTCTTTTGGTTGTTGTTTGAGACAGAATCTCCTGTAAATCAAACTGGCCTAGAACTCACTCTGTAGACCAGGCTAGCCTTGAACTCACAAAGACTTACTTACCTGCCTCTGCTTCCCCAGTGCTGGGACAAAGTATTCTTTAATATGTCAAATAAAAAAATTATTTAGATTTATTTACTTTGTGTATATGGGTGTTTTGCCTGCATTATGTCTATACACCACATTCATGCTTGGTGCCAAGGAGGCTAGAAGAGGGTGTTGGATCCCCTGAAACCGAAAGTTTTAGGCCATTATTAGCCACCATGTGGGTGCTGGGAATTAAACGGATCCTTTGCAAGCTCTTAGCCACTGAGGCATATATCTGCCCTACCCCCACCCCCAACAGGGATTTGAAATTTTTCATAAAAGTCAGATTGGGCTGGAAGCATGGGCTAGCTTACTGGGAGGCCAAGGTAGGAAGATTACTAGTTTGAAGCCAGTCTGTGCTTCACAGAGATCCTGTGTCAAGAGAAAAAGAGGGATTGGTGAAAGATAAAAGTTAGCTTCAGTGACTGGGTCTGAGAAGCACTTCCGGAGTGCAGCACTGCACTGGACCTTGAGGGCACTTGTGAGGGTAGGATGGAGGCAAGGAAGCTTTTCAGGCTGAAGGAAAGGAGTCAGGCATGCCGCTGCATGCCTGGAATCCCAGCACTGGGGAAGCCAGCCTGGGCTGCAGAATAAGACCCTGTCTAAAAACAAGCAAACCAGAACAAAACATGAAGTGACAACATAAACAAGCCACTGGGTGGAGCTGGTGGTAATAGAAGAAGTCATTACCAGAAAGAACAATTAAAGCCAAATCACTTGTGTCCTGTGGAGAAACTTGGACTTACCATGGAGACTGTGGGGGAAATTGGGGTTTTAATCAAGGATCAACTGTCACTTGTAGAAAGTGGATTGGAGTGAAGAGAGCATGAAGGCAGCAGGGCCAGTGAGAGGGTTCTAATCAGGAGCACCCAGGCCTGCAACTAACTGAGGCACACTAACAGCTGTCTGGTGACTCACTGTGGTGCAGGAGGAAGTGCAGACTGCTTTAAACTGACAGGGGAGAAGTTTTGTCAGAGGAAAGTGGTGTGTGAGCCACCAAAGTAAGGACTAGAGACAGGAGGCTGAGGCAGGTAGATTTCTCTGAGTTCAAGGCCATCCTGGTCTACAGAGCGAGTTCCTCCAGGGCAAGCAGGGCTACATGGAGAAATCCAACTTTGGGAGTTGGGGGTGGGGGAGCAGGGAACCTAGAGGACAGCTTTTAGGTAGGACGGTGTGAGATGAGGCAGGAAGGTGGAGGGCCTGGTCCAGGCAGAGTTGCTTTAGGAAGCCTGGGTTGTAGAAGCCCATGGAGAGAAGAGAAGCACAGTCAGATTGTCACCTAGCTGTATTTTAAAAGTATTTTTATTTTTAATTTTTATATTTGTATGTGTTTTGTCTCTGTGCACATGAGTGCAGTGCTTGCTGAAGCCAGAAGAGGGCATCAAGTTTCCTGGAGATGAGTTAGAGGCAGTTGTGAGCTTACCTGACAGGTGCTGGGAGCTGAACTCAGGCCCTCTCAGGAGCAGTAGGAGCACTGCTGAGCTTACTCTGCAGCCCCCAGATAGGTGTGACTTACTGCGAACTTACTGTGGAGGCAGACATTAACGAGTCTGAAGGTGATGGGGTGGCTACATTGAGTGAGGGGCAGGGCTCAGAAACGGAGGGAAAGGTAAAGGTTGCATTTTGTGTTTGGTTCATTTAAGAGATCTGCAGGTGCTTGCAAGTGTGCACCTGAAGGACAGGTTGTTTGTTAGTTAAGTAGAGATGTTTGTTAAGTAGGCAAAGTACTCAAAATACAGCTGCCAATCTGGATGACATAGTAGAAGGAGAGAAACAGCTCACGTTCTGACTTGTAGATGTGCCATGGCACACAGATGTACACACACGTCTAAATGGATGAAGAGATGGATAAATACAATACAAATTTTAAGGAGGGATAAGAATTTGAGAGTTGCCATCATATAATCACAGCCCTGAGATCCCAGGCAAGGGTCTATGGGGAGAGAACGCTAAAAACAAAAAAAAAATGCCTAGGACTGAGCTGATTGTACTCCAACATTGTGGCCCTTTCACCCCATTCTGCAGAATACCAAACAGCCAGTTAACACCCCAGGCCAACACAGTTCAGTACCATCCAAGAATACAGACCCTTAGCTGTGAGCAGACCAGGGTTCAGAACAGCACCCCATTTGCATGTTGTAGCTTACCTCTCTTCAGCTGGCAAATGGGAAGAACAGTACTTGCAGAGTTGCTTGTGGAGAGGGGACAGACTG